ATTTTTGATCAATTTAATGCATCCTTGCTGAATAAAAGTATTAATTTCTTTAAAAAAAATCTTTCTGACCCCCAAACTTTTGAGTTATAATATATGTACAGTTTAATGATAGCAAATGAGATTGTACACAGTCGCTGAAAAGAAAAAATCTTATTTTGCTTATTTACTCATACTCATAATTCCACTCCTGTTAACTGTCCAAGCAGAGATGGCTACTAACTGATGCATTAACTTCAAAATGGCCAAATATCAGCCGATTAATCTTACTTTAAAGAAGACATATTATGCCCCTTTTTACAATATGTAATAAAAAAACATTTGTTTTGGTTCTGATTATCATGTTTATCGTGCTGAAATCATGCGTTTTAAACCATATGAGTTTAAACTTCTGATATACGGTTTTCTGAGCGCACACATCCGAAGCACACGCACAGAAAGCGGCTGTCACAGCATGTGAGGACTAAACTAAGTTCTCATTCACACACAGGTTTACGTTAAAAACACACGAGTTACAAAAAACAGTCGGTTATGTCTGTGAAGGTAAACAGCTGGGAAATAAATCGCATGTTTGTTTTAGATCTGTGTATCAGCAGCAATATACAGTAAATAAATCAATAAATCCACTGTTCTCGTCTCCTCTGAGGCTGGGACTCTGTGCAGCCAAAGACAGAACAGTTAGCATGTTTTGCTCCAACTTTCTCCATGGCATTAGAACTGGTACACCGTTGTCGCTTGCGAAAACACAATAACGGCGCCATGGGTGTAAACTTAAAGATAAAGGGGCGGTAATATCATAATGAGATCCCTTTGCAACGTCACCAAGGGAGTGAAATCAGACGCCTTAAAACCTGGAAAAGTCAGATTTTCATGATATGTTACCTTTAGTATATTCATTTTTAAAATATCTAGCTTTCCATGCATATCTTAGGCCTTCCTTGTTTACCTTGAAGGCCTGTATCGGAACAATAGCAATTTTGTTGTTCAGTTTTTGTGCTGAATCACATCACCCAGATCAGTTCAGATCTTCGTGGATCACATGACACTGTATCCCATCATATCCTGTGAGAGTCTCTCTCTGTGTGTGTGTCTGTCAGCTGAAGTCAGAGAATGAGCTGGATGTTTTGAGCGTCCTCCCGAAAGGATGGCAGCCCAACTCTTTTTCCTCGTCCTGCCCGTGTTTGCTGGTTCCCTCCACGCGCGTGACCTTCCTGGCGCGCAGGTACCGCTTCATCATCGAGCTGGACCTGAGCCCGTCCACCGGGATCGTGGTACGAGACCATCATCATCATCACATTCAGTCAACTCAGAAGGTGTTGTTTTCAATGAAAGTAACTCAGTGTTTTCCTTCAGGATGACAGCACAGGAGAGATGATCTTTGATGAAGTCTTCCACGCTCTGTCTCGGTGCTTGATTGGTCTGGCAAAACCCTTTAAAGTCCCAGGAACTGATCACGTGTTCCAGCCAGAGATCTTCATCACTATTCTGGCGTATTCCTCCATCATTGGCCTTAGTTCTCATCAGGTCTGGATCTCGGGTCTTTGTGAATCTCACTGTGCATTAGTTGGGCGTTTTTTTTTTTCTGATCAGTGATATATCCCATGATTCTGCTCGTCAGGTGTTGGTTCAGGGTTGTCAGCTGGACTGTATGGATTTGGAGCAGTTCTTGCATCAGATCTATCAGCAGCTGAGAGCCGTGGAGAGCAGCATCGCGGATGTCCTACAGCAGCAGCACAACCAGGCAAGAGCAGCTCGCTTGTGCACGCTTTTCATACGGACAATAAATCAATACACAGAAAGAAGCCACATTGCTTTGCAATACAGCAATTTTACTCAAATTAAAGGGATAGTTCATCCAAATATGAAATTTCTGGCATCACTTACTCACCCTCCACTTGTTTCAAACCTGTATGAGTTTCTTTCTTCTGTTGAACACAAAAGAAGACGTTTTGAAGAGTAAAAAAAGAAAGGAATTCATACAGGCTTGGAACAACTTGAGGGTGAATAAATGATGACAGATTTTTTCATTTTTAGGTGAACTATCCCTTTAAAGGGTATTTACTGATATGAAAAGAAAATTTGCTTCTTAACCGTGGTATAATCACTGTAATGCACAGCCACGAGGCTTATTGTTTTTATAAAATGGGAGCAACAGCAATATGATAAAAGACACCAATGTTTAGTGATATTGAATCAGAATCAGAAAGAGCTTTATTGCCAGGTATGCTTACACATAGGAGGAATTTGTTTTGGTGACAGAAGTGACAGTGAAGTGGATGGTGTCTTGTAGTTGGTGACGTCTTTCAGTCCTTTCCACACTGATGCAGGGTCATTGGCAGAAAACTGGTTTCTCAGCTTTTCGGAGTAGTTCCTCTTAGCCACTCTGATCTCCTTTGTCAGTGTAGTTTTGACCTGTTTATACAAGACTCTGTCTCCATTCCTGTGGGCATCAGAATTATGATGCACATAATTCAGCATAGAATGCAATAATTCAGCACAACCTCTCGTATGTTGTTGCTTAATGTTCATGTGTTCTTATTATATTCTGCATAATAATTGTATTCTGTCTTGTCATACTGCTGTTCAAAAGTTTGGGGTCAGTAAGATTTTTTTTTTTAAAGAATTAAATTTTATTTAGCAAGGATGTATTAAATTGACAGTAAAAACATTTATAATGTTACAGAACATTTATATTTCAAATAAATGCTGTTCTTTAGAACTTTCTATTCATCAAGGAATCCTGAAAAATAAAACGTATCACAGTTTCCACGAAAATATGAAGCAGCACAACTGTTTTCATCATTGATAATAATCAGAAATGTTTCTTGAGCAGCAAATCAGCATATTAGAATGATTTCTGAAGGATCATGTGACACTGAAGACTGGAGTAATGATGCTGAAAATTCAGCTTTGATCACAGCAATAAATTACATTTTTAAATATAGCCAAAGAGAATTCTAAATTGTAATAATATTTCACTGTTTTACTGTATTTTTGATCAAATAAATGCAGCCTTGGTTAACAGAAGAGACTTCTCTCAAAAACATTAAAGAATCTTACCAACCCCAAACTTTTGAACTTGAAATGTTACATTAGAAACCATGTTTGTTTGTTCTTCAGTTCAGTGGATCTGTCTATCAGTCCTTCTCTAATGATGCTGTGGAGGAACTGTCTCAGAGGAAGCCGGGGGTTTCCATGGTGACGGCAGATGTCGGGCTGGTCAGCATGGTGAGGCAGGGGATTCTCGCGCTGCAACTTCTGCCTCCAAACTCTGGTGCAGGTAAGCGTCTCCATACGTGTTGAAATCCAGTGAACATCACATTCACAAACCGTTTATTTTCCATTTATTCATTAGATATTAACAGTGAATCTAGAAACAAAATTATTTATACTATGAGTGCCTTTAAAGAAGAGCTAAAGTTTGCCGGGGTTAATGGCTTTAACCTATGCCTAAATGGTCAGTCATGTGGTCTCTCTCAGTCTAAGTGGGCAGTACAATAAGCAGTGGCGGCTCATCGGGGGAGGCAGGGGAGGCACAGCTTCACCATAATTTTGAGGTGAAAATGGGAGGAGGACACAACAGGCAGCTCTCTTTTAACACAGACTTTTAAGAAGGGATGGATGTTTGCTTCAAGTGATAGGCCAGGTACGTTAAGTGAAATTATATTATCTTGCTGTATGTATGTCGTTTTCTGACTAAAAGCAACCAAAAAGCCATTTTAAAGTGGTTAAGCAAGTAATATAATAATAATAATAATAATAATCGGCAGGGATCCCAGACCAATACAATTAGTGTGCCTCCTCTATTTTAAAACCCACGAACCGCCACTGACAATAAGTGCATAAATGGCAGTGAATGAAGTGCTTGTGTAGTTAGTCGTCTTTTGTGTTGTCCTGCAGGTATAATAATCATCACAGATGGAGTGACGAGTGTTCCTGATGTTGCTGTGTGTGAAACGCTACTGAACCAGCTGAGAAGTGGAACCATTGCCTGTTCGTTTGTCCAGGTGCTGCTCAGATCCATTAGACAATTCACAAATATATTATAAATAATATTATTTACAATGCCATTCAAAACTTTGGGGTTGGTAAGATTTTTAATGGTTTTTAAAGAAGTCTCTTCTGCTCACCAAGGATGCATTTATTAGATAAAAACATATGGTAAAATCAGTAATATTGTGAAATATCATTACAGTTTAAAATAAGTGTTTTCTATGTGAATATATTGTAAAATTTAGTTTATTCCTGTGATCAAAGCTGAATTTTCAGCATCATTACTCCAGTCTTCAGTCTCACATGATCTTCAGAAATCATTCTAATATGCTGATTTGCTGCTCAAGAAACATTTCTGATTATTATCAATGATGTGCTGCTTCATGATTTTGTGGAAAAATTACAACCGCTAGGTGATATAGAAGGGTAGGGGGAGGCCGAGCGAGCGCTGAGCTCTCGTGCCTCCATTGGTAACAAAAAGTAGCCAATCAGCATCGAGTGTTCACTTTCAGTGCTGAGGGGTGTTGAGAAAAGAACCCTTGCAAGGGAGGCTAACGAGTGTTCCTGATGTAGCTGTGTGTGAAACGCTACTGAACCAGCTGAGAAGTGGAACCATTGCCTGTTCGTTTGTCCAGGTGCTGCTCAGATCCATTAGACAATTCACAAATATATTATAAATAATATTATTTACAATGCCATTCAAAACTTTGGGGTTGGTAAGATTTTTAATGGTTTTTAAAGAAGTCTCTTCTGCTCACCAAGGATGCATTTATTAGATAAAAACATATGGTAAAATCAGTAATATTGTGAAATATCATTACAGTTTAAAATAAGTGTTTTCTGTGTGAATATATTGTAAAATTTAGTTTATTCCTGTGATCAAAGCTGAATTTTCAGCATCATTACTCCAGTCTTCAGTCTCACATGATCTTCAGAAATCATTCTAATATGCTGATTTGCTGCTCAAGAAACATTTCCGATTATTATCAGTGTTGAAAACAGTTGTGCTGCTTCATATTTTTGTGGATACTGTGATACATTTTATTTTTCAGGATTCTTTGAAGAACAGAAAGTTCAAAAGAACAGCATTTATTTGAAATAGAAATCTTTTGTAGATTTATGTCTTTGCTGTAACTTTTGGTCAATTTAATACATCCTTGATGAATAAAAGTATTAATTTCTTTAAAACAAAATCTTACGGACCTCAAACCTTTAAATGGTAAATGCAGATTATTTGTTTTACTGTGTAACTGCTCTGAGGTGTTGTGTTTGTGAATGTTTCCTTCAGGTGGGCGGTGCTTACTCCTATGACTGTAGTTTTGGCTACATCCCCAATGTGGAGCTGATGAAGTTCATCTCCATGGCAACCTTTGGCTCCTACCTGTCTATGTATCCAGAGTCCGACTCTACAGGCGACGAGATGAACGCTTACCACCGCGCCTTCCTCACATACTCCTTCCTGAGGCCCGGCGAGACCATGAACCCAGAGTACTGCTGCTGTAAGCTCAACACTGAAGCCACACCTAAGAATATCTGAACATCAAATCTGTATGCCACAGGATCTCCTCTTTTCACTAACATCACTTTTCTTGAGCACTTTTGAAGTCTTAGTTTGTTTGAATCACACAGGTGTAGAGAATCACATTATCTACAGACATGTTTCACTAACCACTAACAAAATACTTAATGTCATTTTCAACACTAGAACTACTGTTTTAGCATTTCATACTGTCCATGATTGTCCATTTGGTTTCATATGTTGTTAAGTAATGCAGTGACATTCAGACATTAAGTGAGCAGTGTTATTTCAGTAATATTTATACTGTTGTAGTATTTATTTATATTTAGAATTTTCAGTATTATTTTTATATTTTATGTTATGTGCTTTTGTCATTTAAAAAAAATATATTTTATTTTTGTAATTTCGTAAAGATTTTTATTTCACTTTTAATTTTAATCATTTTAATACTCCAACTTAAACATATTTATTTCAGTTTATTTTCATTTTCATCTAATCCAGCTCTTTTTCCAATTACCAAAAAATAATATTTAACTGTTTTAGTAACAGCCCTGAGTGTGATAAAAGTGTCCAAATAGTTTACTTAGAACGTACTTATGTAGATGACCGTGGAAGTCTAAAACTGAGATTACACAGCTGCTGTTTTAATAGGCAAATATGAGAAGTGAGAACCACAGAGAAGGATTGAGCATTCGGAGATGTTTGAACGCTTGAATATTTCTAAGACAATATTTGTCTGTTCACTTAAAACACTCTGTTAGTTCACCACACATTATCAGTCTGCAAAGAAATCAATACCAAAACTCTCAGCGCTCAGTATATCAGCCCTGTCTGTGCACTTTCATTTCTGCCTCATAGTCAAGCCAAATTCATATCACATTAGAGGTGGTTTCATACATTTTCACGAGGTTTGGTCAAAAGTTAGTTCAGATGTCATATGATTTTCAGTGGGCCTCTTTTGAAGTTGCTTAATCATTTGTGAAACGCAAGCATCTGACTGCAGGGAACCACAACTGATTTTACTTTCACTTTTAAAACATCTACATACAGCTAGGATTTGATTTGGTTAGCATGCAAAATGACCATATATAGTAACACTTCTCACTATTTTTATATTACTAGCATATTGGCTGTACTTATAAAGCACATATGTGACCCTGGACCACAAAACCAGTCATAAGGGTACATTTATTGAAATTGAGATGTATACATAATCTGACAGCTGAATAAATACGCTTTCCATTGATGTATGGTTTGTTAGGAAAGGACAATATTTGGCCGAGATACAACTATTTGAAAATCTGGAATCTGAGGGTGCAAAAAACTCAAAATATTGATAAAATCACCTTTAAATCTGTCCAAATTAAGTTCTTAGCAATGCATATTACTAATCAAAAATCAAGTTTTGATATATTTACGGTAGGAAATTTACAAAATATCTTCATGGAACATAATCTTTACTTAATATCCTAATGATTTTTGGCATAAAAGAAAAATCGCTAATTTTGACCCATACAATGTTTTTTTTGCTATTGCTAAAAATATACCCCAGCGACTTAAGACTGGTTTTGTGCTCCAGGGTCACATATTAATGTCTGATTCTGCATGACCGTATTTTAGATTCCTTAATCCACCCCATACCTAAACTTAACCTTACTAACTATTAATAAGCAGCAAATTAGGAGTTTATTGAGGCAAAAGTTGTAGTTAATAGTGAGAGTTAGTCCTTAAAAGTGTGGCCATATATTTAAATGAATTTATTTTAGGTTTATCTTTGCATAATGCAATGCCTACAGCACTGTAATGGCTGATCTGTGTCGTCTGTGTGTTTCTAGTCTCCCAGCACAGGCTCTTTAATGAACACCTGGTGTCGGCCAGTGGAAACCCCGCCTTAGTGATGCGCAGGAAGAAACACACGGAGAAAGAAGTGCACGCTGACTTGATCAGTGTGCTGTCCATCAGACTGCGAGAGGGATACACCATCCGGGAGATCAACATCACTAAAGGTACTTTAACCTCATAAAGTGTGGTGTTCAAGTATGCTTGTATAATGATCATATACAAATATTATGCATGTAATGTACCCTTGAGATTTCGAAATAATCTCGTCTCTTTATAAGGAGGAAGTCAGCTGGAGGTGAAGCTGGTCCTCCTCTGGAAGCATAACATGCGTATCGAGTACCTTGCCGTGGCGTCCTGGCCCCTGAATCCAGTCAAACGCACCACCTGGGTGGAGGTGACCATAGAGGGCAGCTACGACATCCTCCATGACATCAGCTGCACCATGCGGAAACCAATCACAAGCCCCTACCGGACATCTGTCATCCGCCGCTTCTGGAACACTCTGCAGAGGTCAGTTATAAACTCTGGTTTCAGTCTTATCTTGAATGATGATCGCAGAAGGAAGATTTACGGTCTGTTTTAGTTTGATGATGTAGAGTAATGCTGTATAGTGTTTCTCCTCAACAGCATAAATCAGACAGACCAGATGTTGGTGCACCTGCAGTCCTTTAATTCCATCCCAGAACACTACACCATCCCCGAAAGCACGAAAAATGGGGTTCCTCTGTTTTACATCCCACCTGGATCCAGCACACCGGTGAGTGTTAGTGCAAAACGAAAAAGTCCAAAAAGTTTGGGTCAGTAAGAATTTTTTTTTTTTTATAAGAAATTCATACTCAGAAATTCATAATGTTCAGAAATTATGCATTAAATTGATTAAAAGTTACAGTAAAGACATTTATAATGTTATAAAAGATTTCTTTGGTGTTAAATGCTATTTTTTTAAACTTTCTATTCATCAAAGAATCCTGAAAAATAAAGTGTTTCCACAAAAAACATGAAGCCACACAACTGTTTTCAACATTGATAATAATCAGAAATGTTTCTTGAGCAGCAAATCAGCATATTAGAATGATTTCTGAAGATCATGTGACACTGAAGACTGGAGTAATGATGCTGAAAATACAGCTTTGATCACAGAAATAAATGACGAAAAAGTCCAAAAAGTTTGGGGCAGTAAGATTTTTTTTTTTTTTATAAGAAATTCATACTCAGAAATTCATAATGTTCAGAAATTATGCATTAAATTGATTAAAAGTTACAGTAAAGACATTTATAATGTTATAAAAGATTTCTTTGGTGTTAAATGCTATTTTTTTAAACTTTCTATTCATCAAAGAATCCTGAAAAATAAAGTGTTTCCACAAAAAACATGAAGCCACACAACTGTTTTCAACATTGATAATAATCAGAAATGTTTCTTGAGCAGCAAATCAGCATATTAGAATGATTTCTGAAGATCATGTGACACTGAAGACTGGAGTAATGATGCTGAAAATACAGCTTTGATCACAGAAATAAATGACATTTTACAATATATTCACATAGAAAACAGTCATTTTAAACTGAAATAATATTTCAGAATATTACTGTTTTTACTATATTTTTGGTCAAATAAATGCAGCCCTGGTGAATTATTTCAAAAACATTGAAAAATCATACTGACCCCAAACTTTTGTAGTGAATCCTGTGAAAAAAAGCGTCTCTTAAATTACATAAACAGTAGCGTAGCACACTAAGGTTCATGTTTTTGATGTATTTTGGTGATTTAAACATGTTAAACATAATCCTGCTCTCCATCAGGTCCTCTCCCTCCAGCACAGTGGCTCTAAAGACTCCAGCCAATCACAGTTTGCCTCCTACTGGAAGCCCATCCTGTCCATGGATGCCAACTTCTGGCAGCGCTGGCTGCACATGCATCGCATCGCTATCCTTCTGGAGCATGACATGTGAGTGAACACAGCCTGGATTGGTCAGCGGTCTCTATAGCATAGACCTATCAGCAAAATGTTAACTTGAGTTGGAATGAAATAAGAGAGATTAGATTTAGAGAAACCGCTCCATATAAAATGTCAGTGTGCATTAAATCCCAATGGCAGTAAACGGTTTTCTTGTCTCTGTTTTGCTGTGTCTCTCTCTGTTCAGCCCGGTCCCAAAGCACGTGCACAACGCTGGCAGTAACGGTCGCTTCAGTACCATCCAGTGTCGCATCTCTCACTCGGCACTCACCTCGCTGCTCAGGGACTGGAGCAGTTTCGTCCTGGTGGAGGGATACTCATACGTCAAACTTATTTACAGGTACATGCACAGCTCATTTGACAAATTTACAGAGCATTTTAACAAGCATTATTCCCACACTAGATTCAGAAATTTTTCCCACATTCAGATATAAATAACCAGTGTTATTTTAGTATTTTTTATTTATATTATTTATTTATATTATATTGTGTTGCTATTATATCATTCATTCATACCTGTTATTTTTATATTTTCATTATGTTTTCATTTTTATATTTTCATTATGATTTTTTTTAATGTGCTTTAGTCATTTAAAAAAAATCTATATAGCTTTAATTAATTTTAATTTCAGCTTTAGTTTTAGTCATTTTTATACTTCAACATTAACATATTTCAGTTATTTCTAATACATTTCTAATTTTCATGTACGTTTTTTCATCTAATATTTAGATTTTATTTTATTTGAGCTTTTTTCAATTACCGAATTTTTTTTAAATAGTTTTAATTAACAGTAACAACACTTTGTGACTAAAGTGTCCAAATACTTTTTGGGGATTATGTATGTGACTGTGTTTAATCCAAGGGTCATTATAGTTAACTAAAACTAAAAAACTTGTGATAAAAAAAATGTGTTACTTGAAATAAAATAAATATGAACTGAAATAAAATAAAATATTAAATCCTTTTTATTTCAGCTAATTGCCAAGGCGACATTTCTTATTTTAATTTAGTTTATTTTGATATACTAAAATAACTAAAACTGAAATGAAAAATTAATATAGACGTGTATATATAAAAAAAACTAAATCTACTAAAAATGACAAAAGCACAACAAAATTACTAAAACTTTAATTAAAATGAAAATGGAAAATATACAAATAAAAACTAATTCAAAATATTTATAAAAATGACAAATCACAACAAAATTACTCAAACTTTAATGAAAATGAAAATTCAAATGTAAAATCTACAAATAAAAACTCAAAATATTATTAAAAACTATAGTGGTATCTCAATGATACTAAAATATCATTATTTCATACGCAGTTCATTTGGCAGATTTACAGAGCAGTTCAGCAGTGTTTTAACAAGCATTATTCCCACAGTGCCTCTGAGCTGCCCCCCGTCTCCTTCTATCTGGTGCGTCTGATCTCTAAAGCTCCCTGCATGGTGCTGCGATTAGGCTTCCCGATAGGAACTCTGGCACACTCCAGGAACAAGGTAAAGGTGTTTTCCACACTAGAATTCAGTTCATTTGGTTGCTGTGAAAGCTGTTTTCAGAGCAGCACTGTATGGAGGCGCATAAGAGAACGAGTGTTTCTTACTCTGTAGATTGTGGATGAACTTCGAGAGCAGATCCTTCGGCTGCGGTTCCCTCATCGAGTCCAGAATAAGGAGGCCACGCCAAAAACCAAGCGGAAGATTCTGGGTAACGCGTCGCCCTCCATGTCTCCGCCTCTTTCTGTGCCCAAACCGGCGCTGTCTGACCGGCCGTGTGTGGTGGTGCTCAACAAACCTCTCGAAAAACTACTGATCAGGTCAGTGACGTAACATTAAACAATAATAGAGCTCATTACTGTTATCTCAATTTAGCTTCATGAAGTTATGACGGACCTATAATCAACATGAAGTCAAAAATTACCTTATTTTCTCACTACACGTCTTACTGTGAACGATTCATTGGTGCGTGTTAGTCTGAAGAAAAAAAGTTTTCTTTTTTACTCACACAAAGCCTTTTTATTTCTGTATTTTATATTTTTAGATTTGAACTTTTCATGATCAATGTCTAATGGATAAACTGGACTAAATTCCAAAGATTAATGTGTTTTTCTTGTTTAATATCGTGTTTTACTCTGAAATGTGTCACTTTACAAAATTACAATGATTTGCGAACACTGTTTTAATGCAGACTTAGATAAGTGTTATTTTATTATTATTTATACTAATTTAGTTTTTATTAATATCTTGATTTTTTTTATATTTTCTGTTTTCATTGTAATTTTAGTTAAAGTTTTAGTAATTTAGTTATTTTTAGTGGTCGACCGAGCCAAGGCCGATATATCGGCCGATATTTGGCATTTTTAAAATATCGGCATCGGCCGATAAGTTTTCCTGTTTGGCCGATGCGTTCGAGGCGTGACTTTTATTTTGACGGCGCTGAGAACGGCAGCTCCTGGGCACACAGTGCTCACATTCTCCCTCTTGTTCGCTGTTGTCGTTAACAGTTCTGTCTAAATACGGATAGAAGTCTGTCTAATAATCAGATAGAACGGTTAAACAAAGGAATTAAAATGTATACAAAAAGTCTTATAAGGACTGCTTTTATATTATTAGTAAGACAAACATTATAATACTATCTTGCTTGCCGTCAGCATTCAGCAAATACGCATTTATATAATTTAAACAAATCTTTGAATGTCTAATAAACATTTCAAATTTAACACATTTATTTTTTTAATCAATTTTCAAGTGATTTCAAATTTCTTAAATATTAATTAAAATAAATACAATTATATCGGCTTTATATCGCCCTGCTTTCCAAGATATCGGCATCGGTATCGGCTGTAAAAAAACCAGTATCGGTCGACCACTAGTTATTTTTGTCATTTTTATTATATCATGTCATTTTATTAGTTTTAATTTTAGTTTAATTTTGTAATTATTTGTGCTTTTGCCATTTGTTTTGTATTTCTATTTAGCATAATTTTTGTTTCAGTTTTAGTAATTTTAGTACTTAAGCTTCAGTGTATTTTATTTCTGATAGCTGCCATGCCAACATTTCGAATTTGTTTAAATTTAGTTTAAAGTTCTTTAAATTAAAGCTTTTCTCATTTTCTAATCTAATTTTTATATTTTATTTTTATATTATTTGTGACCCTGCCTGTGAAAACCCAGCTAAGGTTATTTTTTTGTGATTTACTGTTTTCTACATAAAATAATCCTTTATAAAGATGTAAAGAACATTCTGTGAAAATAACCTTTATATCTTTCATATTGACTGAGTAAGGCCATGTCAAATATTGAAATCATAGTGAAATGAATGGTTGAAATCAAACTTTGATGCTTGTTATCTCATAATTAGATTTTGAGACTTTAGCCTGGATTTCACAGACAGGGTCACATTTTCCTTTTTTTCAATAGTTTTCGTTTTAGTTAAAAATAACAACACTGACTCCGATTAGTTCTTCTGTAGCGCAGAGGTTTTAAAAGTTTATTATTTAGCAAATCTTCCCCCTAATCTTGTTCTGACGTCCTGCTGCAGGTACGAGAAACTTCCGTCAGATTTCCGCACCCCTTTCATCTTAAACATGGAGCCGTTCGCTCAGCCGCCCATCATGGGCGCCCCTCTCAGCATGGCTGCCAGCAGGACAGCGTCCTCCACCATGGCGTCTCTGTCCCGATACTTCCTGCACCAGCGCTGGGTTTGGGCCGTTCAGAACGGCCCGGGAACCGCCGTGTCGCTGCACGCAGTCGCTCATATCCTCTCCATGCTCTCCGAGTGAGTCTAAAACATCCTTGACCTGTAAGAAGTCACTTCTGACAAGAGCATTTGCTGCATTCTCAATGGCTGTTTTCGATTGTGCAGTATTCGTCTGTCGGAAGGCTTCCACTTTGCTGCCAGCGGGGAGGGTATCGTCAACATGGTGTCAGAACTGCCAATGCAGGTGAAAGTATGAATACTCTACGCTAGTATATCCCAGTTTTAGAGTTTTGGTAGCGATGCATCTCTAACTTTCAGCCACAACTGTGCAATGCAGAGTCCGTCAGCTGATTTGGACGGAGAAAAACACACCTGCATTGTCCAGTACATCCTTTTCCCACCTCATTCCACTTCTACCAAGGACAGGTAACGCTTCATCTGTTCACTGCTAAATTCTTCGATGGCTTCAGCTGAGTGATTCCTATGCTGTAATGGTCTAGAGTAGATCATTGTAAGGCTGAGTGCATCATCACACTGCTCACATTTAAAGAGGTTCTGAGTTTAAAAGTTTATGATTTAGTAAATCTGGCTCCTAATCTTGCATGAGAAGATGAAAGTCTAAATTTGTACGAATTTATGATGGCATTACAATGAAACTGCAGGGGTGTGTGTGAGATTATGACAGAAATACAGATACTGAATTAAATGAAAGTGTATACATTTTAAAATGTAATATAAAAATAAGTACAAATTTTAAAAATACATAAAGAAAAAAATCAATAGAACATTTACTTGTTAATTAAACCTTAATAATCAGTTAAGTTTGGTTTAATTTAAATCAAATAATTAAACAAGTTTGTTTTAATTAACTATGTTTATTGTTTTGATTAATTCCAAATTTGAAGATGTTATGAAATTCATTACATTTAGCATTATTTAAAGTCTCGGGCTAGTTCACAGGAAATAATTTTGGTCATAAAATGTTTGTTTGATAAATAAGGTTGGGAAACTCTGCCTTCATGAATTGTGAAACAATGAAAATAAAACAATGACTGAAATAAAAAAAAGAATAATACAATAAATAAATAAATAGTTAAGATCTGAACAATGTAAAAATGACATGAGTGAAAACTTTACAATTAAAATGAAAATACAAAAAATTAAAACTAATTCAAAATATTAATTAAAACTATAATACTGTCTCAAACCAAGAGGTTGAATTATTGTATTTCTGCTAATTTTCACTTTTATGACATCCATTATTTAGAGAGATAAAATACAATAAATAAATAGTGCAGAACTGAAAAATATTTAATTGTTTGCGAATGTGGTTTGTCCTCTTCATACAGCTAATCGCATGCTAGGTGCACTAATTCAATTAAAAGATTAGAAGAGCACAGTTGGTGATAGTTTTCATCTTATAATGGGCGTTTGGTTTAACTCTGTCTGTGTTTGGCGTGGTGTCTCCAGTTTCTCCACAGATGATGACAATGACACTGAGGTGGAGGCCATAGATGTGGACACAGAGCTGAGTTTGGTGACGGAGTGCTGGGTCGAGCCTCAGAGCGGAGCTGTCTGCAGCTCACTGGAGCAGCAGAGACATTTTCAGAAGCTCACGTATCAGGAGATCCCTCAGGCTGTTAGTCACAACATCATGACTGCCACTCATATGTGACAGAAAAATGCCTAGTAATTGTACCTATTTTACAAAGCTGTGAGACTTGACAGTGGTCAGTACAATTAGCTTTACATGAGCATTCATAAAGTGGCAATTACAAAGCTTTTAGCTCCTATAATGCATTTCTGAGTGACATCTTTACCAGAATACACAGTAAAATATGGTGAAAAGTGGTATTTTCGCTATACAGTTTTAATATATATTTTTTAATATTACGTCATCGCTCCACTATAGTGAGTAGGAGCTGTTAAGAAGAAAAAGAGAACAAAATTCCATACATTTTTGAAATGGGCCGTTATTATGGCAGCAACAGGTATGCAATACAATTTTAAAGTATGCATATACATTTATATCAATTACAGCTTGTTCGACTAGTCATTCTACCAGAAGTATTATAGATAAACTAAAATTAAAACCATAAAAAAAAAATATTTTCATAACTTAAATAGAATGTTACCTAAAATCAAATTAAGTATTAAAAAACTTAATTCACTTCAGATAGTTTGTCATTTTCTTGAGATGTACTAAAATAACTAAAACTGAATTAGAAATGAATACAAATTATATAGACGTAAAAAATTAAACAAAATGACAATAAATTGTCAAAAACACGCAAAAAAATTTACTAAAATTAAAATGAAAGAGAGAAATATAT